AAAAATGAAATACTAATCTAACAAACAATAAAATATAGAAGAAGAAACAAACACATGTTTGAAAGTCATGTATAATATAGAAAATTTGAAACAATCTATTTGATTAAAACACTTATTATATAATATTATTATGTTTGAAAAACATTTACTATACATATCGTAAATATGTGATTACTATAATATATACCAATTTACAAGTAAAAACAAAATGTTTATATAACTATAAACGAAAACAAACATCCGCGCGGTTGCGCGGGTCAAAATCTAGTCATAAATAATTAAAAAGAATAACAAATGATCTCATCTCATTAAACGCTCCTTTGGGTATATAATTTTATAGCGTGTTATTATCCTCGTGTCGTGTCCAATGTTCGAAAATCTATCTCTATGGGGAAGATTTAGAACATTAGAGTTTGTCTTTTGCGATAAGCAACATACATGATGATAAGTTTTAAGTGCTTATCATTCAGGTTTGAATCTTTGCTAAAGGTGTGTTTTCTGAAGATGTTAGTTTGTGTGATTGTTTGAGTTTCCGAGATGGAACTTTCATTGAAGAAATTTCGTTAGTTGATTTCTGTGAGAAAAAAGTTATTTTGAGCAAACATGATCTATACATTATGAGAACGTGTTTAGTGGACTTTCTTGGCTCGAAAGTTGTGTTTTGAGTCTTGACCTTGTGGTCAAGGAGTGTTTTGAGCCCGATGTTAAAACTTTTGGTTTGTGTAGATGTTCCTTTGCGAGGATTTCGATCCTCTGAAATATGTTTGCGTAAATTTCAGAATTTTTTTTTGTATAGCTCGAGGATCTTTCTTTACGAGATTAGTTCATATGTCGTATTTCTTGTGTGAAAATTTTGCGGAATTAGAATGCTTTGTGGAGTGTAGAAATTTGATCAATTGTATTTAATTAAATATACACTTCTACAAATCTAAAACATTAATACAATAACATCTCAAATTATTATTTTTTATTTTATTATATAAATAAAAACTGAAAAAAATAAAAAAAATAAAACATAAAAACTGAAATTAAAACTTATACCCATGTAATAAAATTTAAAATGATATTTTCATAATTTGTTTTCATCTACGTTTAAATATTTAAATCAAAAAATTTACATAGAAGAGTGAGGTAATAAACACAGGACCGAAATAGTCTTTTTAATTGAATAACATAATAGTGAGGTAACCAAATTTTTTGTCTCAACAGTGTCATATTCATCAATCTCTATGACCGATTTGTTCTATAAACAATTTTGTTTTCAGATATAGTGTAGTTCTAAAATCTCCAAAAACGTCGTAGGAGAAACGCATGTTGCTTTGGAAAACTTGTATATGTCGCATAAACTTGGTCTTCTCTTATCCAAAACTGAATCGCATTGGCTGGTTCCTAAAGAAAGTTCAACCTTGTTTCTGACAAGCCTTTTTGAAGACCCTACCGGAGGCCAGGCCAGCTGACAAGATCTCAAACGTGTTTTGCCAAATTAGAAGCGGAGGAGGCCAGTTGAAACTGGAACCCGTGTTTTCCCAAAAACTGTTTTCTCTCACCAATCAAGTATCCTGATTCAACTTAAAAGTACTCTCATATCTAAAAAGGAGAGATTCACATCTTGCAAATTTTCAAAATTATATGAAGTAGGAGTTCACATAATTTCATGTTGATTTTACGCAAGGCCTAAAAGCTACAAATCCTCTACGTTTTACTTTCCAAAACTATCATATATTTCTTATAATTCTCGATTTGACATTATTTCTGAGTAGATTGTAATCTCAGAACATGGTATAAATCTGTGTTTTTGATGATTTTCTGTGTAATAATATGTCTAATGCACTGATGCACACATGGTTAAAGATCATTGAGTTTGCTGTTTCCGTGATTCATGTCTTTGCTCAGATGGCTAAAGAACTGATGTTTGAAACAAACTCTCATGGTTTCTTTTGAATGCTGAGAAAGGAAAACAAAACAACAAAGGGCAACATGATGTATTCAGTTCATCATTATCCTACCAAAAAGAAATTACAATAAACATTTGTGTCCTGTTAAGTGTTGTGCAAAAAGCTAATCAATGATCCTCACTGAGTGTATGTATAGTAAAAGAAAGAGAGGGGAGAGATACAGAACTTGATGCATCTTCTCTGCCTCCACATGTGTTGTTTGGGTTCTACAAAACCTGTTTCTTTTCCGCCAAATCTGCACCACTCACGTATCTTGCTACAAACGAGACAAGCCTGAACGGTGCACCGATCAGTGGAGCGTCCACCAGAGGCACACCACCACTTGCTTCTTCCTCTTCCCTAGCTACTACAACCTGTGATTCCACATCTATTTCCCCATTCGGGTTCACAGAAACTGGTACCGTTTCTGCTGTCAAGTTTCTGTCTACCAGTGCAGTTTCCATGTCTCCAGAGTCATCAATTTTAATCAACTCCTCGTGAATGGGTATTTCTTCCAAGGTATCAGGCTTCTGCACTTCAATTGCTAGGCTCTCAGGAGGTGAAGCAAAGGCATGCTGCGATTGGTTTAGCTGAATGCACAACTCGTTCACCTGAAAATGTAGTAGTAATAGTAACGAGTGAGATTTTCAACAACCCAGCAAGTTAAAGTAGGTAACTCAGTACACCTCACCTTCTCAACAAGTTCAGCATTTTCAGTGATGAGCTTTTCAACTAGAGTACAAGCTGCTTCAATCTGTGAGTTTAGTTCTTCCTCAGAAGCAACCTATATCAAACCATCATAAACCTTTTCATACATCTTTTTTTTTTCTGAGAACTTCTTTGGAAAGGCATTATAGTCTCACGTTAATGTTTTAGAACTAAGAACTTTGCAATTTGGGAGTATTCAGAGCCTAACCTTCACGTTACTGTCATGGTTTTCACGTTGGACTTGAAGATTGGATACAGTTTCCACAAGACTCTTGTTCTGCTCCTGAAGATTACTCCTGGATTCTTCCAACTTCATTACCTGCAAAACTTTGTTTTAATCTTCATATCAGACTAAATCTATGCAGTCTTATGCTTAGCAGCTTCCTGTTCTACATGGGTTATAAAACTATGCTTTCACTTGGGATGCTACAGTAATACGTACAGACGCAATTCAATAAACCATTCACGGAAATGAGAAAATCACTGAAAATGTTCAAAATAAAAGATGAAACACATACCTGTGCACGCAGTGTTCCAATTTCATTGTTCAGGCTCGAGATCATTTCTAAGGATGACTTCTGCAGGATTGAATGTATATGATGAGTATACCACTCACAAGACACTTCATTTAAAGTGTGCATTTTAGTGAAAGATAGAGTTACCTCGGCAGCTGCTACCGAAGATGCTTCATCATGTTGAAATTGTTGAAGTTTCTTTTCTAGACTTGCCTGATTGACATCAAGCAACTTTGATTACGCTTATACGACAAGAGAAGGTATTCTAACTGAAGAAGATGCAACTTTGACATACCTCTTTCTGAGAGAAGGTAGATCTTTCGTCAAGCAATTGTCTCATTTTGACTTCTGTACTAGACTGCCAAATTTTAAAAAATGTCAGAACTACACATTACATGTTGCTCCATATGAATTGTAATGTAGGTATTAAAAGAACGTTCCATGCGGGTTGGAGATGTCTCACCATTTCATGAACAAGCACGTCATTCTTTGTTTTATACTGAACAAGCCTTTCCTCCAACTTTTCCTGCATAAACACAATATTATTTTGACCTCCCGCTTGCAGATGATCCAGAAAAATAACAAAGATATGCGTACAGCTGTACACTATTAACTTCACTAACCTCGTTCTGTTTGAGAGCTTCATTCTCAGTTCTCAAATGCTCAAGCCTTTGCTCTAACAGTGCCTGTGAAACACCATTTAGTTTCACCTTTCAGCTTGCAGATGAAGCAGGAAAACAGCAAATCTGTAGATATGAATTTATGTTATTTCTTCACTAACCTCTTTTTGTAGGTAAGCTTCATTCTCTGTTCTCAGATGTAAGAGCCTCTCTTCTAACAGTGCCTGTAAAGCAACATGTTATTTTGACATTCAGCATACAGATAATGCAAGAAAATAGAAAAGATGTGAATACTGGTATAAGCTATTTCTTCACTAACCTCACTTCGTACGTGAGCTTCATTTTCTGTTCTCAAATGCTCAACCTTTTCTTCCAATAGTGCCTGTGAAATACCATGTTAAATTCACCTTTGAGACTGCAGAGTTGCAGATGCAGCAGGAAAATAGCAAAGTAATGACAAAGGCTTTACTGTATTCTTAACTAACCTCTTTCTGTATGTGAGCTTCATTTTCTGTTGTCAAATGCTCAAGCCTTTCTTCTAACAGTACCTGCGAAACACCATATTAGTTTTAACTTTCAACTTGAAAATGAGCAGGCAAACATCAAAGTAATGACAAAGGCTTTACAATATTCTTAACTAACCTCTTTCTGAATGTGAGCTTCATTCTCTGTTCTCAAATGCTCAAGCCTTTCTTCTAACAGTGCCTGTAAAACACCATATTAGTTTCACCTTTCAACATGCAGATGAAGCAGGCACACACCAAAGAAATGACAAAGGATTTACAGTATTCTTAACTAACCTCTTTCTGTATGTGAGCTTCATTTTCTGTTTTCAAATTCTCAAGCCTTTCTTCTAGCAGTGCCTGTGAAATACCAACTTAGTTTCACCTGTGAGCTTGCAGAAGCATGAAAAGAAGCAAAGTAATGACAAAGTCTTCAATGTATTCTTAACTAACCTCTTTCTGTATGTGAGCTCCATTCTCAGTTTCCAAGCGTCTAACATTTTCTTCAAAAACAGCCTATGAAAACATCACAAGTCAAAAATCCCTATTTCGCTAAGGAAAGTACCATAACTAGGTAATGGATATGTTTCTTTTATTAAAACCAACAAGAACTTGATAAGAGATAAATCACCTCTTTCTGAAGGTGGGATCCAATTTCATCACGTAACTGTCTGATTGTTTCTTCCAGAACCGCCTACAACAGCATTACAAACTAGTTCAAGCGAAAAGATTGATAAAAAGAGACAAAGCTGCCGATATGTCACTCAGAAAAGCAATGTAAAACGCTACTGCTAACAAAAGCTATATCAAACAACGAGATTTGTACATACAAGAGGACAGAATGGGGAAATCTCACCTCACTATTTGGAGACGTGTTCTCAACAACAACAGAATCATCTACCTGCTTGAAATAAGAAAGACTTACAAGTATCAGACGATAAGAAGGTTCATGCACTATCCAATAGTATTTTTGTCCACCATTTTTACAAACCAAATGGAATACAAGTAGACACAATAAGAAAACACCCACAAAATAAAATAAAAATACATCAAAAGACCAATATGAGCAAAATGTGTTTCAATCAATATCCTTGGATCTAGATGATATTGTTGGCAACTGACATTGGTGATCTGTTGGGATGATGATGGTTCTAACTCGTTGGAATCAGGGACTTGATTAGTTTGAGCAATGTCAGCGTCTCCTGTATGATTCCCATCCTCGGAGATAGCTACACCGGTAGGTATAGCATCACCGTCACCGTCTGCACGTTTGTTCTTGTTCTTCTTCTTCTTGTTTCTCTTCTTCTTCTTCTCATCATCCATTTACCTAATCCAAATTAAAAAACCGTAATCAGTTTTAAGAAAAAGGAATGAATTAAAAAAAAAATCATCAAGAATCTCTAAAGTTTCTCTTTCAGATCTGAATGCACGTAGAGAGAGAGAAAGGGAAAGATTGAAGCTTTACTCGAATTGAAGGCGAGAAAATGAGAGGAAAATGCTTTGCTTTGCGATAGAGGGGGATGGCGAAACGAGGGAAGCGAGTGCTAATTCGACACGAAAACTTTGCAAAGCTTTTGAGGATTTTCGGATGAGGAAAAAGACAAAACAGAAGAAATAAAAAGAGCTTCTTTGTTCTCTTTTTCTTACTCGTAGCGAACAATGTAATTAATACAAAAAAGTTTTTTTTTTAACTAATTGATCACTTACTTTATAATTTGGTTCTGTTTATTTTGGGTTTTGGTTTATAGAGAAAGGTTAAAAATCAATGTCTACATATTAAAAACTAGGTGTTTTGCCCGCACTTGCGGGCTTAATAATTTTACTAATATCTATAAATAAATATATAATCAATTTATGTAAATTATAATAAATTATAGTTCATAGACTCAAAATATTTAATAATAAACTAAACAAATTCTTTCTATATATAAAATTTTTCATCATCATATAAATAATTTTCATTACAGAACCTATATTTGAAAATACTCATGAACTTAAAACATTTAGTAATAAATTAATATCATTTTTAGACATAACAAAAAAGTATAAAAAATTATCTTTAATAATGTTTTGGATAACACAATATAAATTATCTATACATAAATTCTTTGCGAATTGATTTTTCATAATTAACTATATATTAACAAATAGAATTAGTTTTCAACGTTAATAAAGACTTTATAACACAATATAAAAAGTTAGGTAAAGATAATTATCAAATTCATGAGATTCATTTTTTAATTTAGAATTAATTATATGTTAACAAATATAATTATTTTGAAAATAAAGACTTTATCCCATAATATAAAAGAATTAAAATAAGGATAATTATCAAATAAATGAAATTCGTTTTTAATTTATAATTAATTATATATTAACTAATATAATTAATTTCAAGGTTAATAAAGACCTTATAACCCAATATAAAATAGTTTTAGATAAAGATAAATCTTAGATCATTGAAATTCGTTTTTATTTATGTTTAATTATATTAAAAAAATTAATTATTCATTAAGGATATAAACGATATTAACCGCTCTAACTTTCAACGTGAAAGTTACAAATTAATCAGTAAATTCACTTAAATTTTATAATTGAAAATATATTTTTAAGATAACAATCTAATACAAAAGAATTAACATATTTTCTAAAAATATAATATTATTAATATAAATTCGTTTTTATTATATAATAAATTATTAAAACATGAAAATAAGCAAAATAACCTAAAATCATGGAGAAGTTGACAACTAAGAAAATTTACTTCTCAAATAATGTTATAGATTTTTTGTTTCTCTTTTTTTTTTTGTTCTTTCTCGTTTTTCCTTTTGCTCTTTTTTTTTTTCTATTTTCTGATTTATACTATGAAAATAAATCAGAAACTCAATTATAAAACCAAATCAGTTGTAATCATATTCTAAATCTTCTAAGGTTATTAGGTTTTGCTGTTAGAATATGAGTTTGAAGGTCTGTATACTAAGACTTTTAGTGGGTTTTATGGTTTGGTTTGGATCTGGGCATTCAGTTTGATTTGGTTCAAATATTTTGGGTTCGGTTGGTTATTTCAGTTTTCGGTTCGTTTAGGGTAGCAAAGTTAGGAACCGGATAATATTAGGAAAAAATTAGGTCTGGTTTGGTTCCACTTCGGAGGGTAATTTCTGATAGTTTAGAGTTTTTCAGGTTAAATATCAGTTAATTCGAGTTGTTTGGGTAAAATATATCGGGTTATTCGAACAATTTTAAATATCAGTTCATCAAGATAATCTTCACATGGATGAACTGTCATCCTACATGTACGACACGCAACAAAATACCACTTTGGAGTAGTTTCAATGGAAAAAAAGTGTAATACATTTTCCCACCTATAGAAACAAACAAATAACTTCACATAAAACTAAGTTCATAAATAACTTCAGTTGACATCCGTTAGTTGTAACCAAAACTATTTAGTAAAATGGAACATACCTCATTCGATACATTCAATTCACCAAAAGTTTTTACTGGATTCTTAATGAAAAACTCATCATATAAATCTACTCTTATAGGCATAGATTTTGGATCAAAGTTTTCTCTAGTAATAGCCAAATCATCATTGGGCAATTTGGATTTGGAGTCGAGCACTTCTTGTAGTTGTGGATCAAAAAGAATTTCAGTGGCATTGAATACATTAGAAACAGTAACAGCTCCTAAAACATCAACATAATTACAACAAAAAATAAAAATATTATCAGAAATTTAGATGTTAGATTCTATGGGGAAAAATACCTCTGAATTTTCGCACACAAACAAATCGAGCAACACAAACAATACATGATGCTTCATTAGATTTAAAGAAATCTGATACTTCCTTTGCATACCCAGACCACAACGTGCATGTTAAACGTGTATCACTAAATATTTAAAATACAAAAAAAATATAAGATTATTAAAATAAAATAATATAAAATTAAAAGCTGAATAAAACTTACGTTATGTCACAAATTGTTAATTCCAGCTTAGTTGTTGACTTTCCTTTTGCCATGAGATCTTCTAAAGGTCCAACATTCACAACTTCACCAATAATATCTAAAACACAAAACATTAGAATAATGAACTGGTGAAAAAGATAATATAAATAGGGACACATCAATTTAAAACACTATGATATAGAAAATTTATCGATCAAGACTTCTTTTTCATACTCACATCCTAATATTTCTTTAAAATATTTGTAATAATTATTTTGCAACTCTTTTGAAAAATCATCACAAGGAGTGATTTTGGTTATTCTATAAAAGTTAATCTTAAAAGGAAGAGGATTCGTTCTATATTCTCTTGTATAATCACCGATTGTAAAATTATTCAGAATAAAAGAGTCTCCTTGAAATAACTTAGATTTGAAGTTACTAAGAGAATAATGCTTTTGTATTCTTTTGTTTAGATTCTATTAGCTCTCGATAATGACTAAGTGAACAGCGCATAATCAATATAATAACCAACTAAAATATTTTGATAATGCTTTTGGTCAAACATGTATTTTATCAGACTAAAATTAATATAATAACCAACTAAAATATTTTGATAATGGTTTTGGTCAAACATGTATTTTATCAGATTATTATTAGTTAATGATTTATAATAATCAACAAAAAGTTAAAAACATGTTAGATAAGTATTATGAATGAAAATATTATGAAAAATATGATTTAAAACTAAAAATTATAAAAATTACTTAAAATCAAGGAGGACATGACACCTCAGCAAAATTACTTCTTAAATAATAGTATAGATTCTGTAGTACAATCCTGGTACTTCTAAGATAATCTATACTATTATTTAATAAGTAAATTTGCTTAGTTGTCATGTTCTCCATAAGTTTAGGTTATTTTGTTTATTTAGCATATTTATAATATTATATATAATTTATTTATAAATAAACGAATTTATATGAATATATTATATTTTAGAAGATAAGATAATTATTTTGAATTATGTTGTTATCGAGAAATATATTTTAAGAATTATCTTATTATCTAGAAATATATTTTTATATATAAAACTTAAAAAGATAATTCTTATGTATTATTTTTTTATGTTGAAAATATATTTTTCATTATAAAACTTAAAATTAAGATATAAAATTATATTATTAATAATCAAATTTATATTTTAGAAAATAAGTTAATTCTTATGTATTATTATCTTGAAAATATATTTTTCTATTATAAATTTTAAAATTAACATGTAAGAAATCTATACTATTATTTAAGAAGTGAAATTGATGTTTGATGATTTGTCATATTTTCCATGATTTTAATTAATTTTAATAATTTATCAGAATTTCTATAATTTATTACATATTTAAAACAAATTTATATTAATAGTATCAGATTCTTAGAAAATAAGATATTCCTTATGTAGTATTATAAATTTAAAATTAAGATATAAAAAGTTGTAGTTATTCTTATTTATTATGTTGTTATCTTGAAAATATACTTTTATATTATATCATTTAAAAGTAAAATAATCTATTATTAATTAAATATAAATTCTCACTCAAGAATTTTTTTTTAAGAATTGAATTTGCTGATTCATTAAGTTCTTCATGATTTTAGGTAATTTTAATTATATGTCACAATTTTTATAATCTTATATAATTAAAAAAAATTATCATATTATATTTTTAGATAATAAATAACTTATGCATTATATTTTTATCTTTAAAATATTTTTTCTATTATAAAATTAAAATTAAGATATAAAAATTAAAATTAAATATAAATTAAGTAAAAACGTGTATAAATATTATAATTAAATATAAATTAAGCAAAATAATTATAGAAATATATTCTTTTAAATATTTCTGAAGTTTGAGTTTTGTCATTAATAATTATTTAATGTTTGATTTTTACTTTTTGAAAACATAAATAATAACTTATTATGCTGATTTTTAAATTAATGAAACATCAACTAATAAATATTTATAAGAGAATTATGCCCGCAAGTGCGGGTAAAACACCTAGTTTTTTGAATAATCTCTATAATATTATTTGAGAAGTCACTTTCTTAGGTGTCGCGATAACGTTAACTCTCACGCTTGTTGATTACTATGATACCCCTAATGAATTAAAAATACAATTAAATATTATTTCTTTTTTTAAAGTTTCCAAATAACAATATAAAATTAAAAAGGAAACATTTATAAAATTTACAAAACTATTTAAACACGAAAATATAAGTATATATAATATGGTTTAATAAAAAAAGGAAAGTTCACGAAATAGTAATAATTAATTTAAATATATTTTGAATAACATAAAATATACCTTTGAAGTAATAAAATACTTTATATCTATATCTTCTTAGATAAAAAAAAACAATATCTGTATATAATGAGATTTCATAAAAAAAAATTCACACAAAAAATATTGCTATTAGAAAAAGAAATATTTTTTCCTTAAAAAATAATTTAAAACAATAAAAAATATATATTTTTCAAGATAATTATGATTACATAAAATAATCAACTAACATAAACTGATATATGTTTAACTGACATTTTTTTATAATTAGTATTATTAAAATTATTTTTAGTATATTTATTTGATTACAATATCTTACAGTTACAGTAAAAATATATATTCTATTTTACTTATATAGTATAATTTCTCAAAAACAATCATTTTTTACTGACTATTTTAAGAGATACTAAAATAAAACTAAAAATAAATTTAATGATAAACATCTTTTGATCAAGTAACTACAATTATTTTAAAATATCATAACACTATATAATTTAACGAGGTAGATATATTATATTTTAATAGTTAAAATTATCTGTTCTAAAAATAAGGATTCTGATTTACTTAAGTATTTTGATTATGGTTATATTAAGTTTCACAAACATAAAAACAGAAAATAACTACAATTCTTTTAAAATACCATAACAGTATATAATTTAATGAGGTAGATGTATTCTATTTTAATAGTTAAAATTATCTTTTTTCTTAATAATCTTTTGATTTTTAATATTTTGTTTTTATGTTTGTGAAACTTAATATAACCATAGTCAAATATTTAAGCAAATCAGAATCCTTATTTTTAAAATTATTTAAAATAAATTTCAGTTTACCATCCAAACAATATAAATCATAAATTTATTTACAATTTATAAAATATGTTAACTATTGTAAATATTGATATGTGTTCAAAAATCTTCTAGAAATTCATTAGTTACTTATGTATGTAATTTAGAATCAGAAACTTTAGATTTTATTTTTTTTCCTTCTAAGCACGAAAAAATCTTAAGTTATATATAATCTTACTAAATATACTTATATTTCTAAGATTACAACCAACATAAATGAAAATAAGACAATTAATCAAAAATTTCATATTTTAAAATATAAAAGATAATAGTTGAATTCAGATAAATAGATAGAATCCAATATATCTAAATGATAACTAAATCGACCGTAAAAACAATAAAACAGACTAAATATAACATATTTAAAATTATATATATAATTAAAGTAATATAATATTATACATACAAACTATAAATTAATTTAAAAATTAAAGTAAATATCAATCATGAAAATCACCTAGTTCATATAAAATATCAAAAAATTTTACATTGAAAGTTAGATTCTGATTGTTTGAATAAAAAAATATTGAATAATTCAGATTAAAAAAAATTTTAAGTGATTAAATATTTTTATTTAACACTAATACTTTTGAGGTAATTAATTATTTTAAATTAAGTATAACTAAAATAATTAGATATGTAAACTAAATTTTAGATTTTTGAACATACATTCGGTTCGAGTCTGGTTTGATTATCGGTTTTCCAAATAGAATGAAAATCGGTTTGGTTTTTTTGGTCCGGTTCGGCTTTTGGTTAAAATACGCAGCGCTAATCAGCAATCGAACCAATCTTCCTTTGCCTACACTTACAGTTTTGAGTTCTCTGCTCTGGCTATGTCCAACTGTTCATCTTCCTTCTTCCTTTCTCTTCACATCCTCGATGCTCCACAAGTGGTGAGACCCGCTACAAACAATTTTACACGGATTCAGCATTCGATCATCACTAGCACTAGCTCATGGAAGAGCAATCACATCTCAATCAATCAAACTACAACTCTTTCCTCTTCACAAGCATGTTGTTTTGGTGCCCAAGACTCTACCTTTTTCGGGAATTTCATGTTTAAAGAGAAACCAAGCGGCAAGTTTGTATCTTTCTCAAAGTCATCACTACCCAGTGAAGAAGAAGCAGACGTAGTAGTGGATTCTTCTCATTTGGAAAACGATAGTTCAGAATCTCCTCGAGGTGGTGGTTTGATTCGGGGAGTGGGTGAGAATGATCTGATCAGTATAGGATCGAAAGGATTCAAACAGACGAGATCGAACCTTGTAGCTAAGCAAGTTATTAGTATACAGTCTGCTCTGAGTTTTGGATTCATCTCTCAGCTCTGGGTTGACACTTCTTCTGTAAGTTCTCTCTGTCGAATCAAATTAAAATCTTTCAGAGCCTTCCTCTTTTAACTTGTAACGAGAGCTTCTGTTTTGTCAAATTTTCAGTGGTTGGTTTTGGTGGTGGATGTTAAACCCACCTTGCTATCTGGAGATTCTGAGAGATTCTTGCTCACAGACATTACTCGGGTACTAGTGCTTTCCACTACAATGAACTGCTTTTCTTCTTCTCAGAACAGCTCTGTTCTTATATTAACATCTTTGTAGGTGGGTGATGTTGTTCTTGTAAAAGATGATGCTGTACTGGACACTGAGTTCAAAATGGTTGGACTTGAAACACTGGTATAGATTCATCTCTGTGTTGTCTTGTAAATCATCTTCCTTTAAAGCATGTCTTAACATTGAGTTCTCAATTTTTATCTAGGTAGGTTTTAGAGTAGTGACACCAGGAGGGCGTAACATCGGAAAGGTGTTTATATTCTTCCTACAACTTTTTCGGTGATCTCTCTTTCTTTCTTTGCCATTGTCTTGTTTACTAGGTGGAAAGCACACGGTTGTTTTTACAGGTTCGAGGTTACTCATTCAACATTAACTCGGGAGTAGTTGAATCGCTTGATCTTGATTCGTTTGGAGTTACCATCATACCATCAAGCTTGGTTGGTAACTCATTCCCTTTTCTCTTCAGGACATCCAAATAAATAGACATATGAGATACAAGCACAAGCGTCTAATCTAGAAATAGCACAATATTTGTGAGTAACTACCCGGTATGTGATGATGCATTGCAGGTTAGTACATACAGATTAGATGTTGAGGACGTAATCGAGGTCTTAGAAGACATAGTTGTGGTTGATGAAGCTGCAGCTTTTAGAAAACAGAGGTTGACTAAGGTATAGTTGTCTTAATGGTGTGGCTTGGGTTTTTACCATGTACATTACTCTTAAATGAGATGACTGAAAAGAGTTCTGACAACAGGGACTGTGGGATGCTCAGTTTGGTAGTGAATACTCTGATGTAGAGGAGCTTGAGAGTTCATCTGATAGAAGGCGGCGAAGGAGAAGTAGTAGATTAAGACGGAAGAAGGGCGATTTAGACGATGATGACGAATGAGACATGTTTCGCTAGACCTCATGCATTCATTGTTTGCAATTCAGCTTGATTCCTTTCATCTCCAGCTCTGTCTGATAGAGAGAATGTAAAAATGTTCAAATAAAGTTATGAGTTCATAATGGCAGCATTGGTCTAATCCAATGAGAACTTTAGCTTGTCTATGCCGCAACACCCTCTGTTTTTATCAGTCCCTTGCTTTTGTAGTGGAACTGATACATAACCAGTTTGGGTTGATGCAACTTTTCGATCCATACCACATAATAAATTTCAAAACTGACATAAAATTTGCAAGAAAGTTGATGAGTTTGACATGTTGAAATAAAGAAGCAAAAGAGATAAGAGCTACAAACAGCTAAATTAGTAAACTCCCCTACTTCCTAATCTCTAAGACACTTCAACTGATATCCTTAAACAAACATCAGACCCTGAACATTCTCAGAATGCTGGCAAATAGACAAGAAAGCTCTTGATAAATCAATCAGAGCATCTATGTCTTGAGACACGGACTCCTGAAATTAAAAGAAAAAAAAAACAAAGATGTATCTTATCACCTCAACAGAACTTCCAGTGGTTGTCACAGTTAACACATGTAACATAAGTCGTCATGGGCTCATCAGCACTCCTTGTCTGCATCTGATAGTAAGTGCATTTGCGCTGACCACACCGCCCACACTTGAACTGGTCGGTACTTGCTTTTGGTGCCTGGCCACGCTCACAATCGAACAGGAACTTCTCTTTGATCTGGTTGGTCTCTTGTTTCCTCTTGTCGCTTGCCATATCTTCAGCAGACATTGTGATTAGTTTCTCTGGTGACACCTCCCCTGTGAGAACTCTCCTCCTCAAGTCTGGGTTGTTACTGTCCCTCAGGTTGAACATTATAGATCTGTACTTGTTCTTCTGAGCTCCCGTTGACCGTCCCAGTTTCTCAAACATATGAGATTCCACAGAGACAGCAACACGGATTGGATCACATCCAATTAGTCTCGCTCTATCGTACTCATCAGATTCTCCATGAACCTTGGACATGGCGTCCACAAGCAGCTCACGGATCTTGTCACGCACAGGATCATTGCATTTGACCATTGAAGTTAGCTTGGGAGTACCATTAGGTGCCTTAGCTGGAGCTTTCTCACTTGATAGACTTTCTTTTGAGACCTTTTCATCCTTGACAGTCTGACCACGATCTAGCTCCTTCCTCTCCATCTTAACGACTTTGCTGTCTGATTCCTTTTTCTCTACCTTCACACCGGTAACAACCTTCTTCTCTGGTTCCTTTCTCTCTACCTTGATACTCTTAGCTGAATCACCCCTCTGAAGCTTCTGAACTTTAACAGGCGCGGGGTTCGAAGCCTTCTCAACATCCTTCCTCTCCAACTTAACCTCTTTGCAACCGTTTGTGCTTTCGGTCTTCTTAACCTTGGAAGTCTCTTCAATGACAACTTTCTTCCATGTCTCAAGCAGATCAGTAGCTACACTCTTGATTTCCTCAACAGGATGTTTCGCAAGAGACCTCAGCTTCTTCCCTACCTAGAATCAAACAAACAAACAAAAGGATATAACTTTCTCTAAACCAATACAAGGGGATAGAAAATCAAAAGTAAGTAAAGTTTTAATCTTTCAATGCATACAAGATTAAGCAAACAATACCCAGAAAAAACCCTAAAATCAGTTTTGCTAAATTCATCCAAAATCAATAAAGCCTAATTAGGGTTACGAGAGACAAATCTGAATACGAACCTGAGTCGTGACGAGCGTGTTATACGTAACACGAAACGTCTTGAGTTTCTCTAAGGCATCGAGAGATTGAGAAACTTCCGGGCTTGATGAGGTAACGCCGTCGATAGCCGCCGCGTCTGCCGCCTTCTTCGCCGCCTCGAACAATGCAATTAACTCACTTTCCATCCTCACTTCGAATCCTTTAGCTCAAGAGATCAAAGCGCTCAACTTTGTTTGCAGAGAGATAGCGATTGAAGAAGAATGGGTATAAGTACAAAAATAGGGTTGGGAGATTTGTACGGCGGAACTTTGTTCTGGTCGCGCGGAGAAGATAGAGGTTACGGGTGAAGTGGTGTTTTGTGTTTTCTTTATATAGCTGATACGGAAGTGATCAACGGCTTCAGTTAAAACGTTGGGGAATCAACGGTTTGGATCTTGTAGCCGAGTCGATGGATGTTACTAGATTCACGCTTCTGGTAGAGATTATTACTCACTGCGGCTAGAATGGGCTCGTTTGGGCCCTTGTTGGGCTAGAAACGATATATAGTTTTTTTTCGATTGATAGAAAAACAAAATTATCCTTTTCCTATTTGCAACAAAAATGACAATATATTTGCAGACAGAAAAAGATGACTATACATTTCAGGAAGTGACTTTTGATTTTGATACACAAATGGACAAACCTAGAAAATATCTTATCCTATTAAATTTGAAGTACCATTTTGGATTAATTCTTGATTCATCATAATATTTACACAATGTGTCATCAAGATCAATACCAATAAACTACTGCTGTACACCTACATGGATGTTTATTTTAATAGAATAAATCATTTTTTTCATAACACAGAATATAATGGTTGCAATATACATGTATCCATCTATTTGTTTGTTTTCAATTTGTAGTATATAATATTTATGATAAATTAACAGTTTTAGTTGTATATAACTTGTTGTTTATTCATATTATGTTGTATACAAAACCAATAAAATGGTATTACATATTTCTTAATTAGTATTTTTATTACATTAACTATTTTTGATGTATTTATTTATAAATTAAAATATCAATGATTAATAAATCTATCTTTTGAAAATAAATTATTTAGGTCAAATAAAATTAACTTCTATTTAAATAAAATAATAGATATGTCTTTAAGTTTATATTAGCCAAATAAATTTTCTTCTATGTTTATTTTGAGAAAATATTAAATTTAATTATTAAACTTTTATAATTTAAACATATATATATGTGTGTGTGTGTGTGTGTGTGTGTGTGTGTGTGTGTGTGTGTGTGTGTGTGTGTGTGTGTGTGTGTGTGTGTGTGTGTGTGTGTGTGAATAATATTAGTCACCACATTATTTAACATATATTTAAAAACTTTCTATGTCTTAATAAAATATTTATAGTTTATATTTTGTATATGAAATGAAATAATAATAGACATGGATATATTATATTTAAAGTTTGTATGTTATATTTTAAATAAATCTATTTAATTTTATTGTAAAAATTGATTAGAAAATATTATAGTTAGAGAATAATAGTAAGTTTGGTCAGAGAATAAAGTGAGTCTAGTTACAGAATAATGATAAATATGGTTAGAGAATAATTTAATAAAATAAATAATTTTTAATCAATTAATTAATAATGATAAATGAGTGGCATAAGTTGTCATCAGTGGCAGAACTAAAGCTTTTGGCATGGGGTCAATCGATCCAAGTGGATTTTTATATTTTAAAAATATTTACTTGTATAATTCTTTTAAAGCTAGATAGATTTTATAAATTTTAGCTAAATGACCCTTATAATATATGTTAATTTCGAAATTGATCCTCCTAAAACTTTTTCTTAGCTCCGTCACTGGTTGTCTTTAATATGATGAAGGAACAGTTATTTTCAATAGGTATTTCTGTTTAACAATATAGATATAAACTAAAAATATATTTTATAATCAAAATTATATTATTTTAAAATATTATTATTTATGTGTATGACGCTGAAAACTCATAGTAAAGTAGTTATATGTAGTAAAACCTAAGTGAAAATAAATGTAAACTATGTCTTTAGATTCTGTGTTTGATTAAATAAATTTTCACCGATTGAAACTAAAATAAAAAAATTTAGTAAAACCGATTAAACCAAACTTTTAACCATATGGAAAGGCGGTCATTTTATATATTTTTATTTTTATAATTGACACAAAGTTAATATTGATTAACTAATAAATAAAAATCTGCAATACTATTTTGGTAATATAATTAGTGATGTAAATTGTTAAGGTAATGTAATAAAAACAAAGTTGTTAAATTCAAAGAAAAATTAATGATAATTAATGTGATAACTTGTTAAAAAAAAGCTAAGTTATATTTTATACTTTAGTTTTAATAGTATAAACTAGAGTTTGACCTGCACGTTAAACGCGGTATTAGTTTTTCTTTTCTTTATAAGTTATTTGATAACATTTTAAGCATATAGAGGTTATTTAGAGAGTAATTTTCATAATAGGGCAGTTTTGAGTTTTTATTTACAAGATAAAGCAGTTCTCACTCTTAGGGTACTTATTTGGTGAAAAGACTCACTTTGCCCTTTAAAAAGTATAACCATAAACATTTTATTTAGTTAGGAGCATTATATATTTTTTATTTGTTTTGTGTTTGAAGGGTTTTAGTTTCCTCGAGGAGGAAATAGAAAAGGAAAGCTTCTTCACTTTTTGGTTTTGTACGACGGAGTAAAGAACGTAATAGGAGGGTTGTGAGAGAGACTATTTTCTTTTCTGTTTGTTTTTCTTAGTTTTGGATTCTAATTGATTAACCCATATAATATTTATAAGTTCTACAGGTAAAAGGTAAATGAAGCTTGCTTGATAAAAATCAATGGTGCCTGTGAGTTATAGAAAACACAGAAAGTCTTTATAGGAAGAAGATGAAATAATACAAAATTGCCATTCAATAAAAAGAAAATTAATTGGATGGCCACGTGGCTGTGTACATAATGTTAGTGTACACATATTCGTGTACACGAGTACATTGGATAATCACGTGGATGTGTACATAATGTTAGTGTATGTATGAACCAAAGTCATGTAGATACATACGTTCGAAGACAATTCCAAATTCACAAATGCATTAAATGATCATGTGTATGTGTACATTAAGTTAGTGTACACATGTTCGCATACACGAATACATTGGATGACCATGAGGACGTGTACATAATGTTAATGTACGCAAGTACATGTTAAAGAGATAGATTTGTCTTTGTATGTATAGACAAGGGAGCGTGGTTTACGTGTATTAAACAACATGATTATATATGTACAAACAAAACATGTGTACCTTTTTTCATATACATATACATGAAACATGTAGGTTTTCCAATCTAGAATAATATCAGTTTACCAATAAATATGTACATATACATGATTGAGCCTGGTTCAACTTAAAGTATTATCAATGTGTACACATAATGTATTATCCACTTGTACAAAAGTTCATATTTACACCTGTCGATTTCATATATAAAAAAAATTGATAAGAAAACTAGTGATTCGTAAACCTCTGTCTTTCTTTCCTCCATGAGCGCCTGAAATCGCCACAGGTCTCCTATTCAACCTGACTTAAGCTATCCACCACCGAATAACAATTCACCACTGTACACAAATGTTTTATTACACACATGTACAATAATTTACATGTACACAGGTTAATTATACAATAATACATGAACGTCATATAATTTTCACTATCTTCATATATGTTGTATACATGAAACATGTAGGTTTCCCGAGTTAGAGTAGTACTAGTTTACCAAGAAATATGTACATATACATGATTGAGTTGGGTTTAATAGGTAATCCACGTATATGTATATAGTGTACACATATGAAGAGTGTACATTGTTTTAATAATAAAGAGTGTACACATGTACACATTTACATGTATGTACATAGTGTACACTTTCAGGATAATAGCAGTTTAATCTCTTAACTTGAAAAAAATTTATGGAAAAAAAAACAGAAACATGGAAGAAGAACATGACAACTATGGCACAAAAAAAACACACATATTGGTAGGAATTAGATGGATCGAAAGAAGAACACAAGAAAAATATTTTTTTTTTGTTTGGTGAGAGAATGCTTTAGAACCACTTGTGTACATTGTATATCATTAAAGCAATGTACCGTATACATGGAAAGATGTATACATACACACATATAAATATACACATGTAAATTTTTCTGTTTGCTTTAATAATAAATGGTGTACACATGTGACCGAGTGTACATTGTTTTAATAATAAAGAATGTACACATACACAGATGTACACATATACACATGTAATTGTACACATGTACACATATAATTGTACACGTTTTTTTTAAATGAGTGGCAATTTTGTAATTAAATCATCTTTTCTATTAGGTTTTTTGCGTTTCTGCAACTAAATCTCAGAGCCGTCTTTGATTTTTTTCATTCAATCTTCATTTTTTTGTGTGTTTTTACTCTATAATTTGTTGTAATTAACCAATTAAATCCAAAAATCCAAGTGAAAATAAGTTTACTCTTAATTATCAAAAAAAATAAGTGACGTTTCTTTTTCTTCTTCCTCTTAATTCATTGACGATGGCTAAATTTTGAGGTGACTGAAACCAATCTGGTTGTAGCTTCGAAAATCAAAGAGGAGATTGGACGGCTACAACATCTTCACCACGAGAATGAATATTGGTCTGAACCATAAGAGAAGACCAAACTAAAGAGGTGACTGTTGAGTGAAGGAGAAGTGAAGACTATAGACGAAACCGAAGACGCAGCGACGGATGAACCTCTGAATTTGGAGTAGATCTGAACCGTTTTTTTCTTTTTTTTTTCAAAGGTGTAATAAAGAGTAAAAAAAAAAGAAAAAAAAAGAGATAGAATAGAAAGAGAAAGAATGAAGGGCTGTAGTTAAATAACGAAAAAGAAAAGTAGAGATAATATTTAGTTAGCTTAGTTTATAGATAGAAAGTAGAATTGGTTAGAAGAAACTACCCTAGTAGAAAGAACTGCCTTATAATGTAAAAACAAACTTAAAACTGTCCTATGATGATATATTTTCTTATTTAGATACTATTAAGTTCTTACAAACCTATCTGGATCCGGAAGAATCCGATTCAAACTCTAAAAATTTATAAATCCGCACATAATTTAATTTTAATATCTAAAATACTCGATACACTAAAACTAATATGTATCCGAACGTGTACTTGAATGCTAGTGTTTAGCTAATTATGTAAACAAAAATAATTTTTTGTTGATCGGTTTGAATTATTGTACTAACGAAACAATT